GGGGGGGGCATAGGATGGCATGGCTGGGCAGTACTGCAGCTGGTTTGCCTCCCACTTTGTATGTGTGTGAGAGAAGGGAAAATAGGAATACATACACATACACACACATGCACACAGCCCAGCCCCAAAGGGGTTATCATGTGGGTCAGAGTGTTGCTGAGCCTTGATTTCTCAGTGGTTTGGTGGGAGGCTTTCTCAGCGGACTTGAGCCCCAGGCACCGTGAGACCTACTCTCACCTTTCTAGCTATGAGACCTGGAGCACCTCACAGCACTTCTCTGAGCCACAGTTTCCTAATTATAATACATACCTCTTGGGGTTCAAAGGGGCCACCTCCTGGGGGTGTAGTGAGTGACTCATAAAGGAAAACTGTCATCAGTATGATTTGTCGGGAGGAGACATTTGTAAGTGATTAGGAGGGGCTCTAGAGCCATTCTGCCTGGATTCAGCCCAGCTCCGCTGCTTTCTGGCAGCATGACCTTGGCTAAGTCACTTTATTTATTGGAGCCTCAGTGCCTTCTTCTGAAAAGGTGTAGTAGGTCCTACCACATAGGTTGTCCTGAGACGATGCAATTTATAAAGATTTTAACCCAGTGCCAATACATAGTAGGTGCACAATAAATCAAGTAATAGGTAACATTTATTGAGCACTTGCTCAGTGCTGGGCATTATTAGTGTCATTTATATTGCTAGTACTCTTGTTAATAATTCATTTGGAGCAGCAAATTTCTGTGTACCACTCCGCAAACAGGCAACCAGTCAGACCTACCACCTCATTCCTACACTGAAAGTAGAGGCCTAGAGAGGGGAAGTGACTTGCCTAAGGTCACACAGTTGGCTGCTCAGTTTCCAAGCGTGGTTTTGTCCAGCCAAGTCTGCTGCAGAGCCACTGTTTCGTCTCAGTCTCCCAGAGGGACATCCCTCCCTCTGCCCCTCCCCTCCCCATTACTCTCCAGAGCCAGCAGCTCCTCAGAGCTTCAAGCTTTGTGAATGGCTTGGTTTAGCTCTCGGTCGTTAAACGTTCATCGCTTACAATTTCAATCCAATTCCTATAAGTTTATTGGCAAGACGGGGTGTATTAGAGCTGCCAAATTTAATATATCAAGTTCATGTGTCTGGGATGCGGTTTCTCAGCAGTAACTGGAGAAAAGAGAGGTTTTATATGTTTTCATTTTGAATGACTGTCTGTTCCTAATCCCATTATAGCCCTTGACTTAATGGCTGCTGTCCCCGTCTGCTGCAGGAGCAGCTTTCTCCAACAGCCTGCATGGCTTCCTGGACTGTCCAGGGGGCTTGTTTGTCTTCATGTCTTTCTCCAGTCTCTTCTTTACAAGATGCCTTTCCCCATCTGTCTACCCTGTGGGTCAGGTCCCAGCTTTATATTTATTTGCCAGATCCTGGGAGTCTGGAGCTTGTGCTGCTAGCCTGAGCTGCTATCTCATGACCTTGGGGAAGCCACCTGTCTTTGTTCTCTGGGCCTCGGGAACCTGTTCTTTGAAATGAAGGGTCAGAATATAGGACCTGAAGGTTGAGGATCTTGTCTGGGCTCAACCTGTGCAGATCCTACTCATGGCGCAAGTGTTGGCCATGAGAGTCATAGAATCACCCCCTGCCTTGGGCTGCAGATCTCCTGGGTCAGGAGTGGCAGCTGTGGTCACCGTGGCTGAAGGGTCTTAAGAGTCTTATAGCCCTGAGACATTCTCATTTCTCTCTGTGATTGGCTGGGGACCTGCCACTTGAGAGTTTAGCCAGTGTCCTTGGGAAGCCTTTTGCATTTCTGCCTGAGCCTCTGGCTTCTCTAATCACTGAGCTAGCTGTGGAAGAGAGGCCACTTGGCAGCTGGATTTTAGGGGACCTGGGTTTCCCTTCTGCTTACCAGCTGTGTGACCTTGGGCAAGTCCTCTTTCTGAATCTCAGTTGTCCCTTAAGGAAAATGGGAATTAATTTGTTTATTCAACAATATTCGGTTTCCTATTACGTACCACACACCACTTTGGGTGCTGGCGCATCAGCAATAAACAAAACAAAAATATCTCTGCCTGTGTGGCTTTATCTTCCTACTGGGAGAAAAAGATAATAAATGTAACAGGTAACTTATTACTTCACAGGTGATAAAAATGAAGCAGGAAATGGGGAAAGCTAAATGGAGGGTGGAAGGTTCTGCCATTTTAAAGAAAGTGATCACGTTAGCTCACTGAGAAAGGTAGTGTTTGAGCAAAGATTGCAGGAGTCAAGTGAGCAAGCTTGGCAGGTACCAGGGGAGAGCATCCAGGTGGAGGGAACAGCATGGAAACGCCGGGAGGTGGGCACATGCCTGGCATGTGTGAGGAGCAAAGAGGCCTATGTGGCTGGCATAGAGAGAACAGTCGAGAGGAGATCCGAGGTGTGGAGGGTGGCAGCTGGCCAGAGGTTGTAAGGTGGTGGTTCCCTGGCTACGTATGAAAATTTCCTGGGGAATTTTAAAAAGTACTGATGCCCGGGCCTCATCCACTCTGGTTCTGCTCTAACTGGCCTAGGGTGGAGGCTGGGCATCAGAATTGTTAAAAATCCCTCTGAAATGAGGCCCATGTAGCTCCTCATGAGCTCTCATGAGTTTTAAATGAAGTGGTGTGTGCACGGAAAGCCTTCCTCACGCAACCCAGGCCTGGCTCTCAGGGAGTGCTCAGTTGAGGTGGTTGTGCGTGGACTTCAGTGTGTGGCGTTTCCTCCGTGTTCTGACTGAGTGCTTTGTGACTTCCCAGGCAGTGGCAGCACCTGGCACAGTGGCCATGGGGAAGCGTTACTTCTGCGACTACTGTGACCGCTCCTTCCAGGACAACCTCCACAACCGCAAAAAGCACCTGAATGGGCTGCAGCATCTCAAGGCCAAGAAGTCCTGGTATGACATGTTCCGAGGTGGGTGCTTGCTGGCTCGGCTGCCAGTCTGATGCAGCCGCGCTCTTTGCTCTTTCTTACCATCAGACAAGGAAGCGCCGTGGGCCAGTGTCCCCTAGTGCAGAGGGGCCCTCAGAAGGTGAGACTGGAACGTGAGCTCCTTTCCCCAGCAAGCTTGACTGAGGGCTTAGTTCTCAGATGCCCTGCCAGGCTCTGGGGATATTAGGGTGAGAAGTCCTCTCCAAGGAGGTGATGTTTGAGCCAATAGCTGAAAGGTAGGGAAAAGCCAGCCACACCATTCTGGGCAGAGGGCATGTAGAAGCAGGCAGCCATGAGCAAAGCACCAGGCGTGGCTCACTTGGTGTGGCTGGACACAGCAAGAGAGAAGAATGGCGGGGGATAAAGCTGGTGGCAGGGCAGGGGCAGCTCATGCTGGGCTGGAGGCCATAGTCAGGGGGATGGGTTGTCCCAAGGGCAGAGAGCAGTCTTTGAGAGGCTTTAGGCAGCAGCCAATGTGACCAGAGCTACATTTGACAGTGATGAGTGACTGCTTTGTAAGCAGTGGTGTGCAGCAAATGGCTGTTGAATGACTGGCTGGACGGCTGAATAACCAAGCTTCTTCCGGGAAAGGCTTCTCAGAGCAGGTGTGACTGGGGCGAATGGGCTAAGGCCGTAAGCAGCTGGCACAGGGCCTGGCACCTCGAGGTGCTCACTACAGGGGAGCTGCTCTGCACTGCTGTCCTTAGACATACACACTGAGCAATAGTGAGGGAGGGGCCAGAAGGTGGCCAGCTAGAAGCCAGATCAAATGGAGAGGGAGCTTGCAGTGGGGTGAGGGGGGACCTAGGGCTCCTGGAATGAGCCAGGGCAGGTTCAATGCTCATTCGGACCTGGGCAGTAGGATTCTGGGAGCCTGGAGGGAAGGAGCTGAATCCCAGCAGCTGAGAAGGAAGGAAAAAGTGATACAGAGAGAGTTCCCTGGTCTGTGACTCAGAATTCACAAAAAAGGAGTGAGTAGCTGCTGCATGCCAGGTACCTTCCATGTTTTGTCATTTGCTTTTCTCAGTAATTCTCTAAGGCAGTGGATCTCAATCCTTGGAGTTAGGATCACCTGGAGACCTTGAAATTAAAAAACGCTGATCCCCTGACCCCCATCTCCAGAGGCAGGTTTGGGGTGGGGCCTAGGCATGGTATTTTGAAAGCTCTCCCAGACTCTCCCCATTTCAGATGAGGAGGCTCACAGGCTTGGATGAAGGAGGGTGGCCAAGGGTCTGGGAGTGGGGGCAGAAGGGTCTCCTGGGTGCCTGAGAAGCCTCTGACTATGGTGTCAGACAGAGACACCCTGTCCCCCAAATCCAACAGTGGCTGGGTCTGTCATTGAACTGGGCCTCAAGATCACCCTGGTGTTTGCTCCTAATCCCGGACTCCCAGCTAAGAACAGCCAGGTCCTAGGGTCCAGGGCGGATCTGCAAAGGCTGTGTTACTTATAGAAAAGGTGAAACAGGTGAGCCCTTCTCAGGGTTCCTGATTCCCAGCACCCCAACCACACGTCCCCAACCACATTCAGTCCTTAGAACAGATCTGTGAGGGAGCCTGGGCTGGCAAGGGGATCCACTGCAGGTGGTGCCTTTGAAAACCAGAGCAGTGGATCACCCCATCCTAGGTCCCTAAGCTGGCATAGAGCTCTTTCCACTTCCTTTAGAGGTTTCCCCAGGGCTCCAGCTTCCCCAGGCAACCACACAGCACAGACTTTGGGAGGGGGACACATGGTATCCCAGCCTGGGCTAGGACTTAATTCTTGCTCTGCTCCCAGCTTCATGACCATGGACAAGTCCCTTAACCCTCAGAGGGCTAACCATCCATCTGCCATGGTCAGGACATGCCCGGGCCCTGGAGCTATGCTGCCTGGGTGTCAGTCCCAAGGTGTCACTCACTCTCACTAATTTAGTCATATGTAAAACAGCCATAAACGCAATACTCACCTCCCAGAGATGTGACAGGGGCTCAGTAATCTCATGATGACTATATGGCATTAAGGGTTCACTAAGTAGGAACAATACCTATAGGACCACAAAAGGATTGGCCTCAGGCCCTTTATCTCCTGGCCTCATTCATTCAGACAACGCCCTGGTAAGTACTTAGCATGTCCTCAGCTCTCAGACAGGCTTACAGGTAAATAAAACAAGATCTCTCCTAAGTGACCTCATGCCCAGTTATAGCAGTGTGTTCTGGGTGGAACCCCTGTCCTACCCAGACCTTCATGCCCTGCCAACCTCTCCCTCTGAGCTCTAGCCACACTGGCCACTGCAGTTACTGTACCCTCTGCAGACATTCCCTTCCTGCTGTCTTCCCCCTCCCCCAGCCTGGTCCCCCCCATATCAACTCAGGCAGAGTCCTCCAGTATGCCCTCCCCACCCCGCGGGCCAGGTCAGGTCATTCGGCCTCCTGCTAACTGTTTACCCCATTTATATCCACGTGGATTAGTGTGACTGTTGGACTGGAAGGAAGGACCAGGTCTGACTTGTTCTCACCAAATCCTCATCCTGGCACGGTGCCTGGCACACAGGACGTGCTCAGTAAATGTTTGTTAGATGAATGTCTAAATGAATGAGCAAACAGACACAGGGCACCAGAGCAGGTGTTAATATTGGGAGATGAAGCGAGAAGGACCAATGGGGTCAGATCCCGAGGAGCCCTGAACACCAGGCAGAGGAGCAAGGGCTTCTTTGTGCAGGGCCTGGGCCTGAGGTTCTCACCTTCCTCACATGTCTTACTCACAGATTTTGACTGATTGATTCCTTGCCTACCAAGAAGTACACAAAATTTACACCATAAATATGTGATGAAAATAAAGTAGAAAATATCAGAGGAAACCAGGGTTAAGGTTCATATCCAGAAAGACTGTTGCCGAGTCCTGTCAAGGCTGGCGACTGGTCTGACACTGAGAGCCTGCATGGTGTGAGGGGGACAGAGAGAGTATTTCCCAACCTTGGCTGTGGAGCAATGCATGGGCCCTGTTTACTGGGGAGCTTCCTGGGCACCAGAAATTTTTTTTTAGCTTTCTATTTTGAAATAATTATAGATTTATAGGAAGTTGCAAAAACAGGGCAAAAAAGTCTTGTGGTACTAGGATTTAAAAATAAATACAAAAAACCCACACACAACTCCCTAGCTGATTCCATTGTGCAAAGTTCAGATCCTCTGACCTGAAACCTGGTTCTTGCCTTTGGCTGGGTCTAGGTGGGGTGGGAGGGGTTAAAGTCACCCGAAGCTCGGATCCCTCTGCCCAGCATCCCCATCTGTGATTGTCCCCTTTTATACTCCTTTATGGATGGGGAGTGGAGCTCTTTCCTTTCCTGATCTCAGGAAGTACCTGTGTGCAGCTCAGGTCTAAACCTAGCCCCTCTCTCCTCTCACAGATGCAGCTGCCATCTTGCTGGATGAACAGAACAAGCGGCCCTGCAGGAAGTTTCTACTGACAGGTAAAATGTTCTACCCATTTCAGCTTTCCCCTCCTCCCCGGGGACCAGCATGTCCAGTCCAGCCTGCTGGACCGCTGCAGAGCCTCTCTCCCACCCTGGCCACCATCCTGGACCCACTTTGTGGCCTTGGCGCCTCAGATGACTAATCATTTGGGCCTTTCCCCGGGTTGTGCCTTAGGACTTCCAGGGGCTTGTCCTCAGTTCTTCAGACCTAGAATGTGATTTGATCAGCTCAGCCAGAAAAAGCAAGCACTGGGAGATTGCAGGTAAACCCAGGAGACACTGATGGGTGTAATAGACTGGCAGATTAAGTTAGCCCAGGAGCCCGGCTGCCACTGCATTCTCCCTCCCAGCAGGCAGGGCTGGAGACAGTAACAGGTCTGATGATGCTGAGAAGGTTCAGAATTAGAACCCAGGATGCTAGGTGTTGATTTGACTGCTCAATACCTACCTAATAAAGATGCATATAGTTTAAAGAGATAAAAACCTCAGTAAATGAAAGGAGCAAAGGCAGGTGAAAATAAGGGGAGGAAAAATAAGACAAAGGAGACGTAGTCTCCTCTATGCTTGCCTTGAGGTCCTATGTAATCTCTAAGGGTTTGGCCCCGAGCTTCCTAGCAGCCAAGGCAAAGATGAAAACCATGATGATTGACAGGGTGTATAAGGGGACTTAGCATTGGGGAGAGGTATTGCTGTTGACCCAGGGAAGCTAGGTGAATGACTATATTCCCTCAGGAGATGGTGCTGTCCTTAGAATGGCACCAGGCCTGCAGATCAGGGACTTCCCCAAGGACTTCACCTTGATAAGAACACGTCACTGGTAGGTTGTGCTGGCCTAGGATACCTCCAGTCTTATTTTGAGACACATTTTTGTCTTCTCTGTTGAGATTCAGAAAGCCACCCTGGACTTTCTACCTCCTTTAATGGTTCAAAGCTTCCATTAAAGCCTTTCTCCCCAGCAGTGCAGCTGTTCATGCAATTCAAGTGAGCAGACAGGCCACCAGGCGGAAGGCAATGTCCTGGAGAGGAGAGAGGAGGCATGACCTTTTCAGGGACCCACATGTAGTTTGCTGAGGCTGGAGAATAGAAGCTGGGGCCACGGGGTGGTGACAAGCGCCAAGCCTGCAGAGGCTGTGCAATCTAATCACCAATGGCTTCAGTGAGATTTGATCCCCAGCCAGGGAAGGGTTGTGAGCAGGGTATGGTGGGCCAGAAGGCTGCTCATGAGGGTGGCCAGAGAGAGTCAAGTGTTTCTTCCAGGGTTGCTACTCTTTAGTTCCTAAAGTCCTGCCCCTAAAACTCCAGTGACTCCCCTCAGCCCACAGCGGGAGTCCTGCCAGAGCAGTGAATAACTCTGTCTTCTCCATGCAGGCCAGTGTGACTTTGGCCCCAACTGCAGATTTTCCCACATGTCAGAGCGAGACCTGCAGGAGCTGAGTATCCAGGTGGAGGGTGCGTTTTGGTCAAGACCAGGGGCTGGGGTGGGGGTGGGCTGCTGGGGGCGTAGGCAAGATCTGAGGCCTGGGAAGCTGCCCTGTGCCTCCTCACCTTCCTGTCTTTTATGGTGACCTTGTGGGGTACCCTGAGGGCTTCCCTGGTGATGTGGTGGGTGTCAGAAACTGCCACCAAACTGCTGAGGCATGAATGGAGAAGGAGCAGGGGAGCTCTGCCTGTGTCCCCTGCTGGGTTTAAAGTGACAGGCATAGCTTCCCAAGAGCCCTGAGGGTGCACCCCAGCCCTGCCTGGGCTCTGCTGCTAACCTGGCATTCATTCACTTACGTACTCCCTCAGTCAGGCAACATATTGAGCCCCTACTGTGCTCTGGCGACAAGGGGATGAAGAGAGCAGCTTGCCTGCCCTCAGGATCCTCAGGCCTCATGGTCCCAGGGAAGAGCAAGTTCAGCTTCCCCTGGAATCTGGCATGTCTGCCTCTGGGAAATTCACTTCTCACTTCTTCAACTGGAAAACAAGGACGTTCCCATTCAAATTGTCTTTATTGATCACTAGTGTGATTGTTTTCCTCTCGCCCCAGGCTGTATCCCAAACTGTCCCTCCAAGACTCTGACGCCATCTCACACCCAGGTGGTTTGAACTCCATCCATTGCTCCATCTTAATTCAGTGAGCAAAGGTTTTTAGAGGACATTATATGGAAGAAAAATCAGGAAAGCTGAGGCTTCTTCTCGTGCCCAGGGTCAGAGACCTGGCAAGTGGCAGAGACAAGATTCAGATCCTGCTCTGCCCTGTTCTGCAGCCCACACAGCCTCCCTGCACCCAGATTTGAATTCCTCCTGAGGCCCGAGCTCTCTATAGGCATTATCCTGTGTCCAGCTCCAAAAAGCTTAGGAGGTAGTCAGTGTTTCATCTCCATTGGATGGAGAAGCAGAGGGAGGCCCAGAGGGTGGGCCTGGGGAGTTGGCTGCACAGTGGGGACAGGCCAGAGGCTCTGCTCCTGGCCTCCCAGCCTGTGCCCTCCCAGGAAGGTTCCGACTGTGTTGTGGGAGGCTGGGATTCAGGTGGGGGTGAGCGTGCCCTTCACTTGCCTCTGTCTTCCTATCCCCACAGAGGAGAGGCGGGCCAGGGAGTGGCCTCTAGACATAACTGAACTCCCCGAGGGCCATCTGGAGGACTGGCTGGAGAAGAGAGCCAAGCGGCTGAGCTCAGCCCCAAGCAGCAGGTACAGGCCCCATGGGTCCCCTCCTCCCGTGCCCTCCGGGAGCAAGACCCCAGCCAGCTGCCCTGACCTAAAGCTGAACAATCTCCATGAACTGCCCAGGCCTAGGCATCAGATAGGGACTCCCCCTCCCCCAGCAGAGCTCTCCAAGGGAGGGACCATGCGGGGAGCTCTTGGGTCCCCAAGTCCTGGCCAGAGGCACCCGTTTGGAAGTTCCTATTCCTGGGCCTCATCCCCGTGCCTTTGTGGCTCTTCCCTTATTGGAGTCTGTGCTGGTGAAGGGGAGGCCAAGCCTACTTGACTCCACATCACCAGTTCCATTTCCAGAGGGAGGAAGGAGTCTGACTGTGGTTATTGAGTCCCCAGTGTCCCAGTCACTGCTGTGTCCCCTCCAGTGTCCTGCCACATAGGGGAAGTGAGGCTCACAGGAAGGTGAGATGTGCCCAAGGGCACATGGCTGGGGAGAGAAAGAGCTGGGACTACCCAAGTTTGTAAAAACCAGCTTATTGTCATTGTCCCAGGCCTCCATGCGGAGGGGGCTACTGCCTGCACCCAGCACTCAGGATGCTCACAAGCAGATGGGGCACCCTCACTTCTTGCATGGGGAACACCCTGGGTCAAAGGCCCTCATGTTTGTGCTGTGTGCTGTCCCAGGCCCTCTTCTTCAAGCCAGGGCTCCTGGGCTCTTTACCAGGTAGAGGAGAGAGAGGAAGGGAAAGGGGCTAAAGGTTGTGCTTGTGAGCTTCCTATGACTTTGTACAAGTTGCCCCACCCTGGACCACCCTGTTTCAGACCCAGTTATCTCTATGGTATGGCTTCATGGGACAGTGGTGTGGCCTGGGCCAAGGGAGCCTGGTTGGACAGTCTATGGCATGAGGCTTTCCCTCCAGGCACTTCCAGAAGGTACAGGTCAAGCTTCTTATCTTCTCTGTGTTCTAATGAAGAGAGCTTCTTAAGCTATTTTAAAATCAACTTTCATTATTTTTTACCTTTGTTTTAAATCTGTGCCCAGTTTTTGTCCCTCCCACATTGAAAATATAGTACAAAAATGACTCAAATATTGGAGTATGCCATCCTTCCTGCTAGTACTGCCTGAAGTGGTTGTGATTTTGGTCATATGGGCACCCCCCTGGGGGCTGGCCATCGTCATCCAGGGATTTATGTCTTCATCCGGTTGGAGGCCACCCAGAGAGCTCTGGAGGCTTCCCTGCTCTCCCGCTCTGCCCCGCACTGCTCCTTGTATTAGCTACCTGCGTATCCAGCCGCGCTCCTGTGCTTGCTAAGCCATGCTCCCTCCCCTGGCTGCTCGCCTCCCTGCTGTTTCTGGAATAGATCTGCAACTGGGGGGCCACCCTAGACTCTAGAGAATGTGAACCTTTTCCCCCAGCACCTATCCCTCTGGCCACACTTCCAGGGGACCTGCTTTCCTGGCAACCACTTATTCTCTGTGTCCACCTGCCATCCACCTGCCTCCTGAGGGGTTGGAGCCAAAATAAATTCCTCTCTGGGCAGAGCAGTCTATCCAGCCTTGAGAAAAAAGGGTTGTTTGGAGGGAGATGAACATTTATTATTGCTTTTGCCATCGCTGCCCTCTCCCGCAGGCTGGTCATGTGAAAAATGACACCTGAATCCTGGGCCCAAGAGCTTTGGGCTCTGCTTCTGCAGGGTGGTGGGAGGTGGATTCAAGGCCACCCCACCCTCTTTGGCTGCCTTACTCTGTTCCCCAAGTCTCCTACCCTCAGGGCAGCCCTGGAAACAGGCTCTTTGGATGTCCATAGCAGCCCCTCTGCGTCTCCCGCCTCCCCTCTGCTCCTCCAGTTCATCCACACAACAGCCCCGACAAGCTTCTGAACTACATGCTGGCCCAGCCCTTGTTTAAACCCTCCTAGGCTTCCTCCACCTTCCCTGCCACCTCCCTGGCCCGTGGGGATCACCTTCTCACCTCTCCCATCTGGGTCTATGCTATACCACTGGACACTTGGCAGCAGCTTAGCTGTGGTGGGTGTATCTGAGTTAGGGGCACCTCGTGCATGCTATTTTCCTCGACCTGTAGTTGTATGTCCCCTCCTCCCCCACGCCTGGCAATGTCAGATACATCCCTCAGGCTCAGCTAAGACATCTCCCCTTCCAGCCCCCAGGCCTCCCGTCGTGGCCCTGAGCTTGCATTGTTGTCATTCGCACCTGGCTCTGGGTGACATGTGGACTGCATGAGAGAACATTTAGGGGAGCAGGGTCCCCAGTCTGGAGGACTATTTCCTAGGTGTTAGTGCTGTGGGCCACTTGTGGGGACTGGTCTGGTAGCCCCTCTTTCCCCTCTGGGTGTCTGTTTCCTCTCCTGGGGCACAGGGCACAGGTGTTTGCCTGGCCTGCCCTTGGCCACCCAGACTTGAGGGCCCTAAACCCACAGGCTGACAGAGCCTTCAGGGTGCGCTGGGCTACCCCTCCTGTAAAAGGGGAAATGGAGGCCCCATGGGGCCCCAGCCCAGTGCATTGTGCCTGGTCCCTCAGCAGACTGACCCTGAGGGACCTGCCAAGAGCAGCTGCGGGAGGCGGGAGGGAGAGGGCGGCAGGAGGGAGAGGCCAGCCTCAGCCAAGCGGACAAATCCCCCAGCGAGGCCTCTGCTTGTCCCTGCCTTCTATTGTTGGCTCTTTAGATTGTGACTTTATCCCTCTTAATCTCCCCCTTCACTCCCCTGTCTGGGCTGGTGCTGCTGTGGCCGCCAGCGTACCTCCTGAAGACTCTCCTTCTGATTAAGACCATGGCTGGGCAAAACCAGAGCTGTTCTTGTCCTTGTGCATGGGACAAACAGGCCAGGAGAGAAGCCACAGTCACGCCACATGTGCAGCTCATTGTCCTCGTGTGCTCTGTGCAGGGCTAGAGGGATACACTTCAGGGGTTCAGGGGCCCATGTGTTTGGGGCCTGGGAATGTGCCAATGTCTGTGAGCACACATGGGGGTACCCTTCTCCTGGTGGGAGGCCTCAGAGTGCAGGGGCTCTGAGTCCCAGTTGCCCAGAACCTGTCCCATCTTCTAGAAGGTCCAAGGCTCATGGGGAGGGGCTCCCCAAGATCATACCCTATCTGTGGAGAATTGTGGTCACCCCAACCCTGCAGGGAGCCCTGGTTTGGCTGGCAGCTGGGGCTGTCCCTTCCAGCAACTGTGGAGCCTCCCGACTCCCACCCTTCTCTGCAGCTGGGGGAGTTTATGAAATTTCCCCAGTGCCATAAATCATGCTGGGAGCTGCTTTCCGTGCTTTCCAACAAGCGGCTGAGCAGGGATTTCCCCGTCCTCTCACAACAGGAGGCCCCAGACGCTATGTCTGGGCTGCCCAAAGTCCTCAAGTAGGCTCTGTTTAGCCTGTCAGGCCCTGAGAGGGACAGGCCGAGTGGGTACAATGAGGCAAACTCCTGGGTCTCCTGCCCCAAGTCCTGTCCAAACCTCTCACAGATGGCTGGCCAGGAGTTGCTAGGGCCTCACCTTCACTGAAAACTGGGCCTGGGGGTGGGGTGGGGTTGGATGCTGC